TACACAGGCATTCAAAAACAACAGAAGCGGCTCCATGGTGGAGGCAGTAAAGGGGGTGGATGCTTCTTTTAGGTCAGGGGTAGGCAACCTTTCCCCTTTAAGGGCCAAGGGACTTCAGCTCCCAGAATCTCAGGAGCTATTGGCCAACATGGGACTATTGGCCAACATGGCTGAGGCTTCTGGGAGCTGAAGTCCCTCGGCCCTTAAAGGGGAAAGGTTGCCTACCCCTGTTTTAGGTGCTCTTGGGATGGACTAAGCTCTTGGCTTTTGCTACTATACTCAGGAAAGGAGATGGCTCCTTTTTTTGATAAGAGATAAGGTACAGTATCCTTGAACTCATGGATAAGTCAACCCAGTTTTTGGGGGTCATTTTTTTGACTAAAACATCTTGATTTATGCAGCATATTCCAGCTTGCATATTAGTTAAGGAATTGTGAATGATCCTGGATCATATTAAAATACAAACCAAACATATTTCTACCTATTTTGGAAACTAAAAAAACGGAGCAGATCATCCTAGACCTCTGAGAATTTACTAGTTTGGGGAAAACTGGTTGCACTTCTCAATTGGGTACATTGAAATTGGGGGCAATTGGAAACTGAGTGTGCATCTCTTTTCTCTGGGAGTTTTGAGAAGTTACTTTTTGAAGTACAGCTTCTAGCATCCTTCAGCCAGCATGGCCAATGGTAATATTGCTGGGGTGTTCAAGGATTTGTATTCTAAAAAGTATCTTTTCCACTTCTGAATTTTCTTTTGTGTAACCCCCCCCCCTTTTAATGTCTGTTTTTAAATAAAGTAGTAGAAGCTACTGTGCCAAAAACAAAACAAAATGCCTACCAATCTTCAAAGAACCTGGAGAAAGTGCTGCAGAAATTATTTCTAATTTTTTAAATTAGCTTTTGGAAGAAAAAGAAAAGTATCATCTCCTGTCTTCAATTAAGTCTGTTAATGATTCCCAGAGCCTTACAGTATGTGTGGTGGTATTTAATTAAATCAGAGGAGACATGATTTGAACAAGACTTTAGTTTCACTTTGAAAGTTATTAAATAAACTGATATGGTTTTGTTCCACTAAGATTCCTGGGAGCATCCGGTTAAATTTTAATCATGTGCAGCTAGTCAAATAGTGGTCCTTCCAAAAAACCCGAGGAAAATAACTAGATATCAAAAAAAGATGGGATGTAAGATCATATCTAGAGGGTTTAAACCTGGCACGTATTTGAACATAAGAGTGCAACTATCATCCAACTAAAAGAAAGTAACTTTAAAGTTGAACCCAGTGATGGACTAATGGAGCCAGTTTTACCTGTTAGATAAGTGTTAAGAATCCACTGACAAGATGAGGCTGAATATGGAATGTTATGGCCAATGACTCAAGAAAATTGTGGAATAAATATTCCATGGTCCAGTAATAATTTATTACACTTTGTATCTCATCCTCTAAAGAGTTCAGTGTAGCATTCCTCTTTTCCTTGGCTTCCTACAATATGTTTGTTTACAAGTTAGTAGAAAGAATGTTTTCAGTAACTTATTTCCTAGTTGAAAAATGGGTATCCTTACAGTTAGGAAACTGCTTTGAGGAAAATAACAGAGTGGCAAGACTTTTGCATAGGAGTTTATCTCACTGCCCTTTTTCCTGAGCCAGGCATAGGCTGAAAACTTTTAAACATGGATTTTATTGTACACCTCCATGTATCATGTACCTGATACAGACTTCTCCCGTACTTTGCAAAGAATGGGATCTTTGCAAAGGACAGGAGAACTCCGGGTTGTGCAATAAAATCCATGTTTAAAAGGTTTCAGCCCGTGCCTGGCTTGGAAAAAAGGGCAGTATGATAAACTCCTTAGTTTTCTTCCGGTGTTATATGGGTAGTTGTCTTGGCCATGCAGCAAAATCCAAACACGGACATTGTGGTGATGCTTTTATTAGGCCAACCAAAGGCACAAAATACATAATGCGAACTTTCTTCATCAGACATGCATATTAAAAACTATTTTAGGGGAAGATATCTGATGTGGAGGGTCACAAAACTATATCTTTCTTGATATATTAAAGCTGAATTTAAGATGGCAGTGGAGGGAGGTTTGATGCAGGTAAAAGCCATACCACTTGGTGGCCACAAGGCATTTGGGATGCAAAAGCAAGGCAAGGCTGTACACTTTTTTCTCCATTGTTAGAAACAAAGGCAATTCCTTTGAGATCTAGCTTGTATTTGTCCTCTATAAGGCTGTGAACCCCATTAGGAAGCATACAGTTAGTCCTTTCAGAAGTCTTGTACTGTCACATGTAGAGATAAATTTAGGCTCTGTAAAACATGCCAGTGATTGCCAGTTTCATACTGTTTCACCTTAGCTGGAAAAGAAAACCTCAGAGAGCAAGTCCCAGTCCATGTACTCCTTTACTTTAGGATTCCTTGCGTGCAGCTGGATTAATTACTTTTTTGCATTTGGATCCAGTTTTTGGATTTTGCTGCCAACATTAGAGTATCCTAAAGTGTTCCAGGGGAATTATTGTGCAGAGAAATAGACATGGGGTTGGGTTTTTTGTGTGCACACACAAAAAATATATTTTTGCACAAAAATATTGCTACCTGCTCAAATTGTTCATAGAAAAATTATTTCCTGCACAGAGAACAATGTTTCCTGTGCAGACAATGCTGTAATTGGGGATTTATTCTGTGTAAAATTTTCACATGGTTGATTTGCATAGA